CAGAGTAATTCATTCCATTTTACGAACAGCGACGAGAATTTCGCGAATTATCTGGCGGATCGGCGAACAGAGAGGTCCGCCATCGCTGCCGGAAACCACGACTCACGGCTGCCACCTATACCGCGCAAATTGAACTTCTTAATGCAGGCTATCGGTGTCTACGCGGATACCCGGATCCGAGCGTGCACGATTAATAGCATATATCAGAGGAAGGCTCGCCGGGGCAAATTGAATTCTCTCAGTAGTGGTCAAAGTGGAGATTTGAGGTCGATCGTGACCGACACGGAATAGTTAACCGCGTCTGGCATGTTCAATTATGAGTCACGAGCGGTGATCCGGAGGAAGGGACCAGCCCGCTCTTGGAAGGACTGCTCCGTTACAAACGATGCGTCCTCCTTCCGTTCCTCTCGAGCTACGCCGAGGAATCCGTTGGAACCGTGTGGTCTTTCTTCGGAACGCTTGCTCGGTTGCCGTGGTTTTATTTCTGAACCGCGTTGCTCGTCGTTTCCTATCCAAAAGTAGCCCGGGTAGCCTGGCTAAAAATGATTTTAATCTGGAACACCTCTAATTCGGGAAGCTTCCCGGAGGAAGCCTACACATTTTTGTTTCAAACGGAACTTCACGACGCGCTTGTTTCCCCATATAATCGAAATAATTGCTTCGTCAGCGCCGTATTCGAGAAGAAACATTCGTTAAACGAGGAATAATTGAATCCTCTGGAGCGTCGTTTATTAACTCAAACTATAATTCACGGTATATAGCATAAACGAAGATTAATCTCGACGAGGATTGTTTCAAGTTCCCGTGTAACTTTATCCCGGGGAAAAGATTAATTGTCCGAAAAATTGTTTTCCAACCCTTCCTCGACCACCCCTCGAATTTAGCCATCGCGAGGAGGAAGCTTCGAATTAAACCGACGATCGCTTAGCTCCACCGGATGTTATTCCCTCTGTCGTCCTGATGGACCTTTTTCTCACTTGGTGCGCTCCGTGGATAAAGTCGAGCAGTAATTTCGCTCGATCAAAGAACCGTCCTTTTGCTTTTCCTGTTCGCGTGTATCTCATCCGTGTGCATCGTTCGAATCCCTTTCTGTGTGCCGGATAGGAACAAAACGACAGGAATCGTATTCGCGTGGAGCGCATAACAGACCCTGCTTTGGGATTTTTGCATAAATTATTTTCTTTCGGACGAATGGAAAAAGGAACGCGGGTCGTTTCGGATGAGGGACTCTCGCAAAGACTCTTGTAGGATCATCCACTACGAGGGATGGCGAATTGATTAGCAAAAAATAGGTGCTGGCAGATATCTCCGGAAGTCGACGCGCAGCAACTTCTTGCGTAAGGACTGTCGGGACGAGTTTCGTGAAAAGGAAATGAATATAGAGGCGCAAGGGAGCTGGATATAAAGGATCGTTATCCTGCTGCCGGATAACGATGTATACCCGTTTTTCATAGCCTTCCCGTAGCTCATGCACCGTCCGACAATCCATCAGTCAAGGAACATTATCAGCTATCGCGTCAACTACGGTAACAATCTCTAGCCTTATAGTTTTCCCATTATGCGTGCAACTGACATCGTAAATTCTTCTAATAATCGATCATATTTATCGTCTCGGCATCGGCGAACGCGGGGAACCGAGAATTGGCGTTTGAATATTCACGAGAGGAAATCGGTGTCGCGTGTGTCCAATTTTGCTGGTAATTATGGCAGCATTGGCGATAGTAAATGCGTCTCGGTTCCGTTCAAGGAGATGTTCTATTCTGATAATCGTTACCGTGACATCGGAAAATTTGTCACGTGTTGGAAATAGCTGCAGGAATCCGATATTCCAGGTATTGGGTATCGAATTTCTTAATAAAAGGATAAAGGTAGCGAGGGATGACAAGCCGGTAAGTAAACATTGGTCTTTCAAGATCCGACGACAAAATAAGACGAGCCGTGACGTTTTATGGCAACACGTAGAACGATGGACCGATTACGAACATGGGAATGGGAATATTCGCTTGCTGCAGGAAACCTTTATAGGATCTGCTGTAATTTCATCAACCAAGGTAAACTTAATCACGGGGAAAAATAATGTATTGTAATTTTGAAAATTCAGCGCGGATGTTTATTTCCGGTGGCCGAGTCCTGAGTGGCAGAGATGCGAGGAAGGATTAACGTACGAGATTAGGATATGAAAGAAGAGGGCGCGCGTCCAGTGGAAGTGTCCGCGTAATTTGCCTGGATTAAGCGAAAGAGAGCGTAAAATAGAAAGAGACTTTTGAATAGACCGGCGGATTCAATTTTAATACGAATATAGCGTATTAAAAATACGCAATGAAACGAATATTAAACAAATTGACGGCAAGTGGTTGTCAACGAATTAATATTTCTTTATAATAAAAGTATATTTATTAATAATAAGATTAGTACAGCGGGTACTAGCGTGTACAGCTAAGTAATGATATAAAGAACTAAGAGGAAAGGTCTTGGTGTAACTGAACTGAATATTTAAAGGGGAAAGAAGGTCCGAATATTTATGTCCTGCAACGCAACGTCACAGTCTTTTTCCTCGTGTCACTTGCTATGGCTCTGACACCAGGAACCATAAACAAGTGGTAAAAATTTGTAAATATTCTTTCTTTCTTTATGCAATTTTTTGGATACCAGAATATTAGTCGAAAATGTCAACATTTTTCAAACCATTAAATTCACAGTCCTTTTCCTCATGTCATTTGCTATGGCTATGATACCAAGAACCGTAGACAAGATGTAAAAATCTATAAATTTTCTTTCTTTATTTATGCAATTTTGTGGATATCAGAATATTAGTCGAAAATGTGAACATTTTTCAAACCATCAACGTCACAGTCCTTTTCCTCGTATCATTTGCTATGGCTTTGACACCAGGAACCATAGACAGGTGCTAAAAATCTGTAAATTTTCTTTCTTCATTTATGCAATTGTTTGGTTACCAGAATATTAATAAAAAACGTCAACATTTTTCAAATCATCAATGTCACAGTTCCTGTCCTCGTATCACTTGCTATGGTTCTAACACCGAAAACCATATCCAAGTGGTACATCTGGTCTTTGTCCACTATCGTTGCCCCCCAACAAAAGTTAATCAACAATTTCCTTCGTCTTACCACTTGCCGTTGAATACCTACGATTAAAAATTTCAGACGAAATTTCTAAAACGGTCTCAATTTAACATCAAACCACCCCCAGTTGTAGCGTCAAATTCACCACTCTTTGGTCCATGGTCCAAACTCACCCCTGTAAAAATTCCTGCAAAGTGATCCATCACCGATCGACGGCAACGCATTTCCAGCAAGTACACCACTCATAGTCCATAAACAGCACAGCCCGTGACACGAGTTAAACGAATTTGGTATTCCTTGGACCATTGCGAGAGCATCGGTTCGGGGACCACGAGCGTGGAGTCGCTCATACGGAAACACAGGCGAACGTGAAGCGCATCGCGCGGTATAAACTCGCGATAACTCGCACCTGTTCCCGAGGACCAGACGTGCCCGGTGTAATGGCTACAGGAATAGCTCGGGATTTTACGGGACGCGATTTCTCAGTGCACGCTGGCCCGCCCAGCGTGTAGGTGTTCCACGCACGCCTACGTCGTCCACGCGTAAACGCGTGCTCGTCATGGTGGATCGAACAATGGAGAGGCGATGCTCCATGAAGCGCGGTAGCCAGCAGACATGTCTCTCACCGATGACTTCGTCTTTTACCGTCCCGGAATTTTATACCGCTGACGACATACTGCGTACGTCTTTTCGTTTGTCACGAGTCATGCTCTGGCTTCTGCTCTAAACCAGATTTCTTTCAAAATACACCCGGTATAGCACGTACATCGACGGATGACGATCTACGACTGTTTCGTCTGTGCGTTATATTTTATTAGCTCGGTCTCGCAGATTGGACGTTAAGAAGTTAATATCGGGATCATTTTTCCCATTGCTCGAAATTGCAAATGTACGGAAATTAATGAAAATTAATGAAAATTAATGGAAATTCATGGAAACGAATAGGAACTCTCTCGAACCGAATATACGCTATTCATCGACCGCCCGATAATAAGCCACCCTCTACACAAGGGAAACAACCTGGATGACCTATCGGAAGTTAGTCATGAAGCTATCATCGCGCGACAGCATTCAAGCCTCGAGGACGCATGTTATCTAACCGAAACCGAGGCTCGCGATTTTTTGATCGAGCTTTAAGCACTTCCACATCGGCATAAATGAAGGCGGCTGGCGAATTATTCCGTGCATCGGCTGGAAATTTTGCCGACAACTGGATACCTTCCGCGACCGTGTCTGGATGTGGAAAAAGGGAGTGAGAGATAAAAAAAAAGATCGGCAATGAAATTACATCATGCTCCGGGAATTAAAGCTTTCAAGCACGCAACGTATTACTCGATCGTTTGCCACATCGCTGGATTTTCGAGCTGTCGCGATGACGTTGATTCATCCAATTATTTCTCCTCTCTCGCGCTACTCCTTTTTCCAAAGCCAGCCACGTTTCGCCTATAACGTTCGTCTTTATCGAGCATTTCACTCGCGTGGCTGGGAAATCCGTGATATTAAGCTGCATCTCGTATTTCTCGCGGGGAACCGACCAAGGATTAACGCGGGATCGCTACTAACGATTTCTACAACGTTTCGTTGCTCCTCTTTGCTATCGTTAGTCATCGTTTCCTCCGTTCGCGATAATTCGTCTCCGATTTCCAGCGAAACCCGGTGGAACCTTGATCCTTCGTCGAATCGTTGGAAAAATATTTCGTTATAATCGTAATTTCCACGGCGATCGTTCGATTTTCGATACGAGTCGGTGGACACCGAAGATTCGAGGGTGGAACAGATGAAAATTCGACAAAAGATGACGCTGATTTAAAATCCGATCGGCTGAGATCTACGACCACGCGAAATTTGATAAGCCGACGAACCAGCGTCGCTTCGAGGATATCATTCGCATGGAGAAAATTCGATTCGACTTACATCATCTGGATGGTATTTCGGCCCACCACTGGACGTTGTATTTGCGCCGCAGAATTCTGTGAGGACATCCTGTAGCTTTCGCGAGGAATCTGAAACAATGAAGTTAAAAGCAACCGTGACTTCCTGTGCGCAGCAGAGGCAGCATCCTGTTTTCAGAACCAGAAAATGCAATTTCGAGAACGTCGCAATAGGTTCCTTGCTTCCAGCTTGTGGCAAACCCATCTTCGACCTTGAACTTACGCGAACCGAACGATTTCATTTTTTATGTGACACTTAAAATGACCTTTTTGAACCTATATCCATCGGTCAAAACAATTACCGTATATATTAATGTTGGGATTTCGAGAGGATTAATGTTTGGAGATCAAAGCGTTTAGAGTGCAGGGAAGTATCCGTATTCATTTATACAGCAATAGATATATAAAGTTTAACCCATTGCACTCGAGAGGCTACTCTCAGTCACCATTTAATCAAATTCTAGAAATCGTTGTTAATTAATATCTCAAATTTACAATTGTCCAACGACGCGTGAATATCGTGGTAAAATAATTCTATATCTTACAATTAATTTGCACTTCTTAATTACCGTTTTGAAAATATCGTCGACTTTATGGCCGGAAGTCTTCGAATTGCTATGTTTCTGTAACGAAAAGATCGCCGAGTTCAAAGGGTTAATATAGATGAAATATATACACTTATGCGAATATAAAGAGCAGAGCTTTAAACACGTCCTCATGAGTTTCAATACTTTAAAAGCCTTCTACACTGTTCCGGATTTGAGACTGACTGCTGGAAGGGATAGTAAGGCCTTTTAAACCCCAAATGCCTGCATAGTATCGAAGGTCCTCGAAGTCCACAGGTCAGTATTGCCCTGCAACCTCTAGCAGGCCTGCCACCATCGTTGCAATTACCGTAGTTAATTTACAACAATTAATTATATTATTAGGAAAACCGATAACTGCTATCACCAGTTTACTCGAAACAACTTACAACGACACACTCATCAATAAAATAAGATAATATACGAAGATAATACAACCAAAACAAAATGAAAAGGACACAGACACATGGATCTATCTATCACCTATTTATCTTACGATTTCCGAGTCAAGAAAGGTAAAATAATTACCGATCGACAGCAAGCACGAGGAACCACGAGTTCTCGAGTTTCTGAAAGCTCGATCTTCCATGGCTAGGGATCAACTAAGCGTCCGGAACTCGTTGATCGAGACCCGAGACTCGTTGCTTCTCGATCACGGAAATAGCAAAATCGTTAGCCTGCTCTTGCGCCGCTACAAAGGAACTGTTTCGTCCTCCGACGATGATCGTCGATCAAACGGGACCCGCGTCTTTATCCACAGCATCCGGGGCCCGGTCGTCGAACAAACTTCATCGGGTAAAACGTCAACAGCTCGCGGTGTCAATTAAAACGATATCGAAGCGATATTACTCGGTTTAGCGGAGTGGAGGCTGAGGCTCAGCTGTCGAACGGATATCCAGAGGCAAGGACAAAAAGCGGGAAAAAGGGGGGCGTCGGGAAAGAGGTTCTTGCCGATTTTATTGGCCAGGCCTGGTCGTAAGGAAGGAGGGAACAGCCCGGAGTGGATCGCGGACAGAAACGCGATCGATCGGGCATCTGGGATTCAGTTGTTTGCAGAGGAAACAACGACGATAAATTGACTAATAATAGGCGACCATTGGCCTAATCTACCAGCTTGGACGTCATAATGCACTTAACGGACAGGATATTTTTGGGCCGCGACTATTTTCGGCGCGATTGACGAGTACGATGATGGATCGTGCACCAACGGCCGCGTGATTAACGTTCCTACCCGGATGATCGCGTTTCCGTCCGAAAATTGGCCCGTGGAAAATCGGGAAATTGACTGTGATTTTCTTCAAAAATGACAATCGTCGTTGACGATATCGGAAGGCAATTGCAGTTGTTTTTTAAAATCGTTTTCCTTTTTTCTTCGGGTTTTCGATAATCGATGATTAAATTGACGTCGATGGACGTGACGGTAATTGATCTCCAAAATGGTGGAATAATCGGCGGACGATTAATAAACGGGAATTAAATCTTTGACGAACCGCTCGCGTAATTATGGCGTCCGACGCTGTCGAGTGCAGTGGAAACGGTCGACTGTACGGTCAGACGCATAAATACGTACTACTTACGCGCTCTTGCGGGACATTGAAAGATTCATGGTGTCGAAACGGGTCGCTTTAAAAGCAATTCCGATGGATGCATGGCCGTTTACGGTAATAATAAAACCGGGAATACGACTCGTATTATACGAGGTAGTAATTTTTCCCCGGCTTACGTAAGAAAAATGTACTCTCGAAATTTCGAGTTTATCTCGAAGACAGGCGTGCCCTGCGATGCGTCCAGAATAAATTTCACTTCCTTCCAGACGACGTCGCGTGAATTTCCATAACTCCATAAACAATGAGCCCGACATTCCACGGGTAACTGTCGAGATGCCCGGAAGTTACACTTTTAATCACGTTGTGCGATCTAATCATACTCGGAGCTATGTACGGTTTCGGTGCCTCGTTTAAAAATTCCTCGGTGCTAGAATTACCGAGTCTAAATAAGATTCCGACTGAATTTATCTACCTGGTGTATTAAAATAAATGGTTATTTAAGAATTTTACTAATTTAGTTACAAGATATTACAAAAAGTGCGGTAAAATAGAGGGAAAAAATCGTACGCGAATTTATAAACAGTCATTGAAAAGAGGAGACTTCCATTCATAAATTTGTTACAAAATAAATGGCGGAAAAAATTTGTCCATGTCTGTAGAGTCGTTTGAATCTGAAGAAAAATCTGTTTCTTTATAGAAGAAAAGGTACTATTAATTTTTTACCCAGTATGTTAAAATAAAAATTATTTACAAAATTCTATTTAGGGATGTGAAAGTAACATCTTCGTTCTTTAAAATGAGTCTAAGTGGTCTCTTGTACGATATTTTTTAACGAAGTTACAGCCTCTCGAATATTGGCAATCTTTTTAGTGATGTAAACTAAATTTAGTGATCCTTTAATCTAATTGACGAGTATGTTTATACGTATACGTTACAGAGTCGGCAGTTGTAGCTTTAAGTAAATCATTTATTTTCCACGAAACGATGAGAAACGATCCGAACGAGACGTCACCCCAGATATAGGAAACACCTCTCAGCCATTCGTGTATACATCGATGATGCATGGACAAACGAACCGCGACGTGCTTCGTTTCTCTTGAAAAATACACGTCGCATAGATAGAAGATTCCTCCATCGACGATTCCTCGCCCCTGGACTCGTGTAAGCTTGGTAACAGGAGTTCGACCGCTGCGAAGCTCGCAACAGCCGACCATTTCACTTTTTACTTACAAGCTGCTAAATCCTGGAGCTGTTGAAATTCCGCCGGTGAGAGCTTATCCCAGTGAAAGGCCATCCTTACTTCTGGTCTCTGTCTCCCGCAGGACGAACGCCCAGTTGTTCAACGCTGAAAGTCGTCACCTGTAGATAGAAAGACATCGCCGGATTAGGAAAAGCTTTTTCAATCCCATTCTACGGTGATACATTCCCGCACGGAAGCCCGATGCGGTATAAATTTACGCGATAACGTCGGGTGCTTTGATAAATAATGCCGGTCCTGCAGCCTCCGTGGCTACTTGAAAATCTAGCCACGGCTCCTGCGGTTTAGAATCCGCCCTGTTTCCCGACACGAGAAATTTAATCGCATGTTCCCAACTAAAAACCATGCAATGTACACGAGGGAACGTACCGTGCGATTAACTCGTATCCCCGAAACGAGTTCATCGAAACGAAGGCTAAACGTTTTAGCGCGTCCACATCCGGTCCAATTTTATGGTAGCTGCTCCCGCTGCCAGGACGAGTGTTTTGTTTCGTCGCGACGTGTCCTGTGCAGGTAATGGAGGTAATGCAGGTAAAACCAACGTAGTTGCAAGTAACATCACTCGCGACGGTTTTTCCGCCATTTTAAGAACAGTGGCGATGTTGGAAATTTTACAAATATTATTATTTAATCGTTTGCATTACAGTAACCAGTCTTGAACATCGGGAATATATTATACACGCGATTACGATAGTATTTAAGGTGCTTCGACTCGTTTATATTTTGCGCCTTTGCTAATCTTGGCATCAGGAGTCATCAATCGCCATCACGGCGCCATTTGCAATCTGAGTGTCAGTTAAATACTAGCAGATTCTAAAGTAGGTAACGCTTTAATTAAATATCGTTAGCATCGCGTGAACCGAGACTTTTTCATCCCCTTGTATAAGCTCTAGCCACAAATTACGCATATGAAGCGTAACGAGCTATTTGTCAGCCATTCTTAGGGCTAGTTAGAAAGAAAACACCTTTGGTAGCTTAACGTTTCTCCTTGCACGATGAAGGGACCCTTTTAACTCGCGCGAGGCTACCATTGCAGATTCCCTTTTATCCTAACGAATATTTCATGGGTTTTAAATGGACATTGAAACATTCATCGAAAGAGTTCAGCCTGTGTTATTACGCGTACAATCAGGTCACGATTATTCGGTCCGTATTTAATTACCCCGTAAATACACGGTTGTTTCTATGTCATTTGACCTGATATATTATTTATTTGTAAACAATATTAAGGTAAATACAGACAGATGCATTTCCTCTGCAATCATACTCGCTCGTGCACACTGCACTCGCCGCGACCAGCGCGCAGTCACCTTAAATCTAGTGACTTTTATTTCCCTAACATGTCCAATAACTGATTTACCGGACATACGCCGCCATGCCTTTTTTCTCGTCGCGAAATCCAATAATCCACGCGATAAATCGAGGTCGGTTAACGTGACGAGATCGGGAGAAATTCGGCGAGGCGAACCTTATCGTTCCACCATCGTCCCTCGTACCCTCAGATACTCTTTGCTACCCGTTGAAGCTTCCAGCCTTCGGGCTATTTCTACAGGAGTCTCGCGAAGTCAAGGAACGACAACCCATAAAGGATTTTCCTCGGATATCCTTCTTACCTTCGCAGAAAATTTAACACGCTCCTTCTTCCTCCACGGTCGCGACAAATGGAGCGAAACGCGTGTTCAGGGCCATTTCCGGCGACTCGAGACGCGTAGATACTCCTACTGCATAACGCAGAATTTTCACAACGATCCCTTTCTGCGAAATCTCTCGTGCGAGAGAATCTCTCGCGAAACGCGTATCGACGAGACACGTGTGCAGTTTTATAGAGTCTCGCGCGATGGCGGAAATGGCACCCGTTCGAGGAAGAAAGGCGAGAAGGCAGAATTCGTCGAAGGGGTGGAGGAAGCTGGAAAGTTTCCGGTGTTCGTTTCGTATTCCAGTAACAGGCCTACTGCAATTTCCAACGGGAATTTAATTTTCACTCTGTTCCTAGCTATCTACGACATCGGAGGCGATACCGTTCCGTGGATCCAAGCATGAAATTACCGATTTACGGCCAAATGTCCCGAAAGTTGTCGCTTTCTGGAAAACGCCGGGAAGTTCATCGGCGAATTTCCAGGAACGACGAGTCGGGAGTTCGTTACCGTTATCGCTAACTTCTTCGCGAACGATCTCCAACGATAGGGCGTTAAGTAAAGCACGAGGACCAACGAGGACGGACGATTTCGGGTCGGAAATGAGTCCAGACGAGGGGACTATGCGTGTAGAAGTAGAAACTGTTCGAACGCGAGTCACGAATTTCATTGTCGAGTGTAAACTAGTCAGAAAATTGAAAAACCTTTTCCTTTCTTCCTCTTCTCTCGGCGCGGTGAGCCTTCCGTGGAAAGAAGCGGAAACGGTACCGCGAATTACGTTTCGGTCAGGGTGATAAGCCGAATTATCATAAGATAATAGTCACCGCGAGTTTGCGACTATACTCGCTGGGAGAATGATGTTACTTAATATTAGCATTCGGAATAAAAGGTTTTTAGAATTACTCGAATCTCCGGAGAATCAAATCGAAAGTTCTGGAACGGGGAAAAAAGGGGAGAGAGAGAGGAAAAGTAATATCACGCGATTAATCTCGGGGAAAAATTCACCGTCGAGTTCTTGTAACTACGATCACCTTTCACTCGAATATCAATTTCGCTTTTACCCTGCTTCCGACTGTCCTTTTTGCAATTGCGAAGGAACTTTGTTCGCCTGAAAATTTATCGGGAAATAATATTTCGTTAATTACGAGTTTTCCGATCAGCCAGGCTTACGAGATCGATTTATTTCTTTCGTTCCCAGAGACAAAAGTTCCGTCCTTTATATTGCCATTCACTCGGAAATTCCAACGTATTTCACTGCGAGTGTGCCAACAGGAACGTTCTATTGCATCGCGAGACAGAGGGTCCCAAAAGTATGCAACGACAGACGCTTCCTACTGTAGACTACCAGGAATCGAACAATTCCCGAGACTCGCCAGGGAATATTACCCGAGACTGTTACGACTTCGGATAAAATCTGTCAAGCAAATTTCAAACGCAAAATACTCGCTGCTGAAGCGAAGACACAATCCGACACTCGAGGAAGTAAGCAATTTCGAACTTAGAAATCGAACGTCCAATGGGGACGAGATCATCGTCGCTTAGAAGATTTCAAAATTGCACATTAAAATTCAACATCTCACTGTGACGATTTGTAGCAACCATCATTCTCACCCTCGCCAATAGATGTCTTCAAACTTCAAGCAGGATCGAGGACTTCCTCGAAACCTCAGCTTCCTACGCATATAACTTGCAGACCTTCCAATATTATCTAAGGCAGGGCTGCTAGGGATTCTATAGCGATAATCGCTGTAGATTAAGCTTGATTTTAGATCACGAGTGCTTCACACTGGAGCCACAGATCTCATAGTCAAAGTTTCCATTTTTAACCCTTTTGTACGTTTTTGTTCCTTTTTACATGTATATCATCGTATCTAGTTTCTGGCGTATTAAACGTATGTTAAATTGGATTGGCCTGCTAGGGTAGCCTTACTGATGAGTCCACTAGCAGGCCCTCGGGACTAAACGCATCCCTTCCATTTCCTTTCTTCCCTTCTAGCACCATCGCCACTCGAGGATACCTGCGACAAGCTAATTTCAACAACTGTGGAGGAGAACTCCCTACAGATATTGAAATTCTAACCT